AAATTAAAATATTTCATTTATAATAAACTAAAATAAGATTTTCGTAACTTGATGGCTAAGTTCAAAACAAACCTAACAATTGTTTGATAACTATTTTAATATTTATAGAATATTAATATGATACTTCAATATATTTCTTAATATATCATCATAGAGTTATTTAGTGTCTGAAAAAGCTATTAAAATTATTTTATGATAGATGCTCATTCTTTAAAACAGAGAAGATATTAGAATAAAAAATTATTAGATGTATGCTTATTTTTTTCAATCTACTTTAAAATATTCATCCAAAAATCTCATTTCACACAGCATTCTTAGAAAATAAAAATAAAAAATTATTAAAAATAGGCTCTGATAGCACTCTTTATAAATTAAAAAATATATTAATATTAAAATTTTAAAATATATAAATTTTTAGATAGGTTAAAATTATATGAATATACAAAAAAAATAATTTTTTAACAAGATTTAAAAAAATTATTAGAAACAGGCTTTGATGCCATATTTTTATACTAAAAATAACATTAATATTGACAGTGTATTTTATTGTGAGCAAAAAAGAGAAGTGACAAGTGAAAAATATATAATCCAAAGGATAAATCACATTTTTGTCAATTTAGTGTCTTACGTTTTGAGCTAACAAATATTTTGCCTTATATATTGGTAGTTTCATGTTAATTGAATCTTAGTGTCCTATATTTAGTTTCATTAGGAAATTAAGAAAGACATGTGTTCTACTGATTCTACGCACTAATTCATGTTAATTGAATCCTAATGTTACACTATTATTTTTAATATTTTATTGAAATAGAGAAAGTAAAATCTCGCCTTTGTCTTTTATAATGAAGTATTTATCAATTTATTTCCTCCACAAAAAAGTTTTCAATTCGTTTCTCTCAAATATTAATATTGAACATTAGCTTGCATGTAAAAGTATTTTATTAAAATTATATTAAATTAAAATATTTCATCCATAAAGATCAAAATAAGATTTTCCTAACTCCATTGGTAGCCATTTCAATATTTATTAAAGATCAATATAATGTATTATAATCTAATGAATTTCTTAATGTGCCATAACAAATTCATTTAATGTTTGAAAAGACTATTAAAATCACTCTGTTAGAGAGGCCCATTCTATAAATAGAGAAATCACATTTTTTCTAGTCTAATGTAGAATATTCCTCAAAAAATCATGTTTTCCTAACATTCTTAGAATACAAAATAAAAAATTATAAAAAACAGGGTTTGATATTACTTTTTGTAGACTAAAAAGATATTAATATTTAGAATTTCAAAATATAAAAATTTTGAAATAAGTTAAAATTATATGAATATACGAAAATAAATTTTGACACCATTTATAGAAAAAAATAAATCAAAAATAGTTAGAAAAGGCTCTAATATCTATTTGTATAGTAAACAAACATTAATATTGGCAATATATTTTATTGTGAGCAAACAAAATGTAAAAAAGATGTATATCTAGTGTCTTACTTTTTTTATTTATTTATGAAAATGTATAATTTAAAAAAATCTGATTTAAAATAAAAAAGGAAACAATAATTTAAGGAAGACTTGCAACAGAGGTTATAACATATTATTTTAGACTTTAAGCCCGCAATTATTTGTTTTTTATATATTAATTTCTTTATGTTAATTGAAACTTAATATCTTTTGTTAAGTTTTATTATGACATCATTAAAGACACATTCTTTGCTCATTCTAACCATTGATTATGAAAGAGTCTAGTGCATGTTGAATTTCTTGTCCTAAATCATGTGAACTTAATTTAAAAGTCTGACTCCTATTTACTTATGTATTAATATCTATTTCTCTTTCTCATATGTAAGTCCTAACTTTTGTAAGCCATATTTTCAGACTTAGTTTATATTTTTTAATTGACTACTTTGATATTTATATGTGTATTGAGGGTATATTGCAAAACCCTAAAAATTTTAGAGTATTAATTATTTTAAAATACATAAATTTAAAAATATGTTGATATTTTTTGAATTGTATGAAAATATATTTTGATACCACTTGAAGGGAAACAAAAATAAAAATTGTTAGAAATAGCATTGATACTACTCTTTGTTTACTAAAAAAAGGACAATAATATTGGCAGCATGTTATCATTTAATAATCTATTTAATACTCAAGATATAAATTTAGATGGAGTGAGTGAGTGAGAAGAAGCAGAGCAATACTGTTGATAGAGTTGACCTCAAGTATGGTTATATGTAAAAGTTTAGCCTTCATGAAACTCATTTGGTATTAATGATTTTTTCACTTTCTAAGTTACTTCCACCTTCTCACATTATTAATTTTATACTTTAACTTATATATGAGAATGTTTTATTACAAACTAAATTAAATTAAAATACTTCATCTATAAAGAACGAAATTGAAGTTTTCATAACTCCATTGCATAGTTCAAAACTTAACCTAACTACTATTTGATGGTCATTTTAATATTTATGAAATATTAGCACGATGCCTCATAATTTAGTTTATTACTTAATTGTCATAACATATTGATTTAGAGTTGGGGCATAATGTTTTTATATTTTTAATACATGGGGGATAATAACTTTTGAAACTTTTGCACATAAAACCCATTTAATAAAATTAAATAAAAATAACAACCCAACATTTTAAATATTTTGCAATATGGCTAGATTAATATTTAATTTAACTTGAAATGACAAGAATGGCCCTTCTCTTCAAATCTGAAATCTCACTCCCATTCTTAAATTTGAAATAAATTATACCCACTAAGCTGAAGGTGAAGCATTCAAAAGTGTTTAAGTATTAAACTAATATATGATCGTAAATGGCTATGATTATAATCATTCAGTTACAGGAGTTTTGCTATTTTGTTACACAAGTTTTTTTATTTGTTTTGGGATAAAATGGGAAAATCACACTCCAATTGATCATAAATGAGCCACATTCTAAAATTTTCAAAGCTTCTTTCAAATTTTTTAATTAATATATTTTTCAGGGCCATTATGCCACATTACTCAATAACCTTTATTTATTTTTTTCAATATGCACATGGTATATATTTTATGTTGTTAATGTGCATGGGGTAAAAAATTAAAAAATAGAATAATATGTTGTATATATTGTTAATATGTATAGGGCTTATTAAATTCTAAACTAGGATATGTTATTTTAAAATTTTAATTTGTGCATATATAACACATAAATTTTAAATTTTAAAATTAAAAATTAAAAGATAGAGCAAGCTTTAATTTTATTATTTTTTTGGGTAATAATACATTAGCTTTAATTATAAGATAGAACAAGCATTAATGTTTTTTGGTAAATGAACAAGCATTAATTTTAATTTATGTGAGGATAATACATTCTTGAAAACTAAATTGTTCTTTATATTTGTTACACATATAAGGTAACAATTATAAAATAATTTGTGTGGGAATGAAACAAGTTATTGTTCATATTTTTAATTTTTAATTTTTAATGTGCATGAGGTAGAAAATCTATTACTTATGCAATTTGCAATTTAATCTTGAATATAGCCTTGGATATATATATATATATATATAATTTCCTTCATTCAAAAATGTAAGGTATTTTTTAAGGAGTTGGATGTTTAAAAATGTAAGGCATTTTTAATCTTTCGAGGTGTAATTATTGCCTTTTTTTAAAATGTCCCTATTGATAATGACTTTATATTTATTGTAGGGTATTTAATAAAGGTAAATATGAAAAAATAAGGTTAGTTAAAAAGTAATTAACTATTTTATTAAAAGTAAAATTTAATTAAAAATATCTTATATTTTTAAATGAAAGGAGTGTATATACATAGTATATATTTTGGCTTTTGAGGATAATTTGTTTTTGATAAAGAAACCATGTTAACCTTGGTAATAGGTGTGAAGCAATGTGGTTATCACAGTGTATATTTGGATTAAAATTTATAAACTGAAGTTTTTATAAATTAAAATTTGCAAACGAAGGATAAGGTAAAATTTAATAAATTAAAATTTGTTTGAATTATATAATTTAAAAATGAATTTAGAAATATAATGACTTAAAAGGGCTTAAATTTTGTAATGTAGATTTATTTGTGTAATTTGATCTCTTTAATAAAATATTAAACTTTAAATTAAATTTTTTTAAAAAGTGTATGTATAATTAAGGAGCATTATTTGTAAATTTTAAAAAGCTAAAATAAATTGATAAATGAGCATAAAAAGTTAAAAGCAAAATAAAAAAAATCAGTTTCTACAATTTTAAGTTTAAACTAAAAGTCATTTACCTACCATTTTTACCCAAACAAGATTTTTGAATCCAATATAATTTTGAAAACACAAATCCAAACTTTAGTTTGGGTTTAAACCAATTTGCTACATCGAAGAGAAAGGCAAAATAAACAACAGTGCGTTGAATGAATCCTTAAACACTTTGAACCTGATTTTTTCAATGCAAAAGCAACAAAAAAATTTGCTTATGCTAAAATCTGATGGAAGATAAATATATGTTCTCCAGTTGAATATATTTAAAAGAAAAAATTAATTTTTTACTCTTTTAACTTTTAATTTACTTGAAATTCAATCCTTTAATTATGACTCGCTGTGACTCAGTCCTTCAACTTTTAAATCACTTATAATTCAGTCCCTTAACTTTTGTTAATTCTTTTTTTTTTCATGTTAGTTTAGATTTCACATCAAAGAATAAGAGGAGGGTATTTTAGAATAATATATGAGCATTTCTTTTATCCCTCTTATTTGATAAGGAATTTTTTTAAAAAAATTAAAAAATAAAGACTGAATTATAAGCGAATCAAAAGTTAAGAGATTGAATCGTAATGAGTTACAGTTGAAAAACTGAATTATGATGAGTTATAATTAAAGGATTGAATTATAAATAAATTAAAAATTAAAAATTAATTTTCCCTATTCAACAAATAAGTTGGGTTGGGCAGCAACTAAGCTTGCACCCTGGTTGAGTGTTGACCCTATCGGCCATTGGCCGCTTGCGTGGCCCGAACTCAAAACATGGATCCAAATGAAAGTAGAGTGTGCTCGTGTAGCCTGGGTGCTTCTTCGAGTCTGAGTCTTGCTTGCGAGGACCAGGAAATGGCAGGTGCAGCTACGAAGGTTTGCGTGACTGGTGCTGGAGGCTTTATCGCGTCTTGGCTCGTTAAGCTTCTTCTTTCCAAGGGCTATTTTGTTCACGGCACCGTCAGAGAACCTGGTCTTTTCCCATTTCCCCCTGCTTCTGAAATCTATCATGCTCTTTTGGATTAGAAAATTTTCATTTACTGCATTATTGAATCGCATTGTTTTCTTTTTGCAAGTCTTATCAAGAGTCATGTATTTATTGTTTTTTTTTTTTGTTCAGTTGTTCAAAACAATTTCTTAAACCCTCTATTTTTCATCGGGTAATCAGAAGTACGATCACTTGCTTAAATTCGAGGGAGCTTCTGGGAACCTTAAGTTCTTCAAGGCTGACCTCTTAGATTACGAGTCTCTTTCTTCGGCGATTGCTGGATGCAGAGCAGTTTTCCATGTTGCTTGTCCTGTGCCCTCCACAATTGTACCCAATCCTGAGGCAAGGTCTTCCTGGGTTTCAAATAAGCTGAATCTTACTGTTTGTTCTTCTAGATTGTTCAGGCAAATTTTTTATAGGCAAACTGGTTTGGAATTATGCCTTTATCAATATTGCTTCGACTTCAAAGCTGAAACTGTTAGTTTGGAACTGTTAGTTTAAGTAAAAGCACACGTGTGTTTAACATTTTATTGCTTATTGGTGGAAATTGCTTCGGAAGTGGAAACACCCTCCAAATTTCAATTGACTCCTTCATTGTCTTTTATTAGTTCATCATATTGACATGAAATTCTGACTTGGTTCAAAGATCACAAGTTTTTTTTCCATTTCCTGTATACCCACTATTCCTTGATATTTTCTTGTATCAATTGGTTTTAGAGTTTCTTAATTTCAACCAATGGGACAATGAGCCTTTGTTTATATCGTTTTCTTCGATATAGAACCTAATATGTGAATTGAATCAGGCACGCAATACTTATTTTATTTGATTGATGTAATTTCTATCTTGTCTCTTAGTTAACTTATAATGAAATTTATGCTATGTTTTTTTGTATATCAATGGAATTGAAGTCTCAGATGTTAGTATCGTTTGAGAGCATTGCAATATTGAGAGCAAGATTCTGATTATAACTGGGACTTGATATTTTCTAAGAGTTTTGCATGTTCTACTAAAAGTTTTCTACAGGTAGAAGTTATTGAGCCTTCTGTGAAGGGCACTGCTAATGTCCTCAAAGCTTGTCTTGAAGCAAAAGTGGAACGGGTTGTCTTTGTATCCAGTCAAGGCGCTGTTTCCAGGAACCCCAACTTGCCCAAGGATGGAGTAATTGATGAGTCCTGTTGGTCTGATAAAGATTGGTGCAGAAGAACTAAGGTCTAAAGCTTTGAACTGTTGTCACTTATGAGCTTATGGTTTGGTTTTGTATTTGGCCCTTTATTTTGAAAGTAATATCGTTTTTCATCTGGCATACTATTTTACTCGAATTTCTATTTGGTAAATAGATTGAATTGATATCTATATAGCCGGCCCTATTTAGTAAGGTTAGACTTGTCATTGTTTTATTTGGTAAAGTTACTTTGCATGTTAATCACTCAATGATCAAGAATATTTGCTCACTCTTTTTTCACTCATGTTCCAGAACTGGTATTGTTATTCCAAGACAGAGGCAGAGATGCAGGCCTTGGAATTTGCCAGAAACACAGGGCTTCCAGTGGTAACTATTTGTCCTACCCTGGTGTTGGGGCCAATTTTACAGTCAACCACTGTCAATGCAAGTAGTTTGGTTCTCCTCAAACTATGTAAAGGTGCTAGCTATTGCCTTATTAAATTCTGTTTTGCAATATACTGATGTTGATGCCTCATTGTTTTATACCGTAGACACAGCTTTTTTTTTTTTTTTTTTTTTTTACTATAAAATAGAATGAATTTTGGGTCGGCAATTGATTTGACCATTTCTTCCTTGCAATATTTGTCTGGAACTGAAGGTCCTGAATCACTGGAGAATAAACATCGGTGGATAGTAGATGTGCGTGATGTAGCCGATGCAACACTAATGGCTTATGAGAAGCCTGAAGCAGAAGGGAGATACATATGCACTGCACATTCTATCAACACAGATGAATTGGTGGAGAAATTAAGACGATTATATCCTAACTATAGCTACCCTAAAAGGTGGTTTTTAAGAGCATAGGAAATATATGGTATGGTCGCCGCTCATGTGTACTTTATGTAACCTTGTTTAATTAGTTTTGTGCTTTTGCAGCTTTATTGAAGTAGATGATCGCATAAGGTTAAGCTCAGAGAAACTGCAGAGGTTGGATTGGAGATACAGGCCACTGGAAGAAACACTAGTTGATTCTGTTGAGAGCTATAAGGCCGAAGGGCTTCTGGAATCAAAATAACTTTGATTCTCTCTGTAGCGGACGCACTTTGACTTCGGAACCAATTTGGATCCTTTGAAACTAGTTGTTATTTATATTATTAATATGTATGGAACTAACAAATTCTAAGCTAAAATGTCGAAATTTTAATTTATGAAATATAATTTTATTTCAAAATAACAAATTATAAAATAAAATCATGTTTAAATTTTAATTTATATGATGACAGCACGTCTAGAAATGATACATCTTTAGATTGTTTTTTTTTTTTTGATAAAAATCTATATATAAACCTCTGGGTCTCTGAATGTACATGCAGCCACTTAGAGGCCTACAATGCAATGTTGCCTTTTCCCCCCTCTTGTTTCAGTGTTCCGAGGGTGAGTTCATGTTGGTGGGTTCAAGAAGGAACTGTTGCTTTTGAGTTGCCTTAGCTTTTTCAAAAGCCACGTTTTTTCAATTCTTACGGGAATAATCTATATGTTTTAACTCCTTCAATTTCTTTGAAAGTTTGAATGAAAGGAGGTTTAGAAGCATTTTAAAATCACTGGCCACAGTACCCTGCATAATGAAGATATATCAATTAATGATGGTCTTCTTCTCAGGCAATTAGTTCTTCTTGATGACGTCGTCTTTCTGGTTTTGTTTTGTTGTCGTGAGTTTTTGTTCTCTTCGTTTGGGTCAGATTTTCTTTTTAATCCTCCGGGCCTTTGTGTGTTTTTGTCCCAATCTAAATGAGTTTGAGTGTATAGTTCTACTCTTCGGCCTAAAAATGTAAGTTCAACTTTTTTGCCTGGGCCTTTTTATTATACTCATCAATTTCCTTGATTAAAAAAATTTGACTTTTTATTAAAAAATATATTCAAAATTATAAAATACTTTTAATTAATATATACATCTAAAAATTAGTTGATAATGTCTTAAATTACACATTCTTTTTTCTTTTTTTTATGCTTACCATTATTTAATAAGTATCTCAAGAAAAATACTCTAAAAAAAGGGTTCACTAATTTTAAACGGGGAAGTAATAATGGGTGCATTCAGGGAATTATTTGTCCATATAATTTTGTAATGATTTGTTATTGGGTTTACCAGAAAGTTCATAGTTCTTGAAGTCTGAGTTGCGAGGATAAGGAAATGGCAAGTGTAGCTACGAAGGTTTGCGTAACTGGTGCTGGAGGCTTTGTGGCGTCTTGGCTCGTTAAGCTTCTTCTTTCCAAGGGCTATTTTGTTCATGGCACCGTTAGAGAACCTGGTCTCTTTTATTTTCACTTTCTTCTTCCATTTCTCCCTTAATTTTGAAAGCGTTTATACTCAATTGGATTAGTTCGATTTCATTTATTGCATTTGCGTGATTGAATCGCATTGTTATCTGTTTGCAAGTCTGATCGGGACGCGTAGGTTTTTGCCTCTTTTTTGAAAAATAGAATTGCTTTCCCTTACCCTCGGATCAGTTCGTCAATTTCTTTAACCCTTTGTGTCTGATCAGGTAATCACAAGTACGATCACTTACTTAAATTCGAGGGTGCTTCTGAGAACCTAAAGCTCTTCAAGGCTGAACTCTTAGATTACGAGTCTCTTTCTTCGGCAATTGTTGGATGTAGAACAGTTTTCCATGTTGCTTGTCCTGTGCCCTCTACAACTGTGGCCAATCCTGAGGTAAGTTTTTACTCCATGGGTTTAAAATTAGCTGAATTCTTACTATTTTGTTTCTAGAATGTTTAGGCTACCCTTTTTGCCATGCAAGCGCGTTTTAAATTTTGCCTTTATCAATATTGCCTGGAAGTTGAAACTGTTCTTTTAAAACATACGTATTTGAGATTCCATTGCTTTTTTGTGGAAACTGCTTCAGAGTTGAAAAGTGAAAACATCCAAATTTCATTCAACTGACGCCATAATTATCTTGTATTAGTTCATTATGTTCACTCGAAATTCCGACTCAGTTCAAAACTTCAAATATTGTAAATTTTGTCATTTCCCCGCATGCACACTATGTCACTATCTCCCTTGATATTTGCTAGCAGCAATGGGATTTAGAGTTTCCTTCTTTGAACCAATGCAGCATTATCTATCATTTGTAACATTTCTTCAATATGGAACTTGTATGTGGAGTGAATCAAGCAACCAATATTCTTGTGATTGTTGACATTTCTGCTGTCTCGTGAGTGAACTCAATGAAATTTAGGCTATGAATATTTTTATTTCATCGTAAGTCTTAGATGTTAGGTTTTGTTTGAGAGTTGCAACATTGAGATCAAGCATTGGTTTATAATTGGCACTTGACATTTTCTACAGGTTGAAATGATTGAACCTTCTGTGAAAGGCACTACTAATGTCCTCAAAGCTTGTCTTGAAGCAAAAGTGGAACGGGTTGTCTTTGTATCTTCTCAAGTTGCTGTTTCCGTGAACCCCAACTTGTCCAAGGATGAAGTAATCGATGAGTCCTGTTGGTCTGATAAAGAGTACTGCAGAAGAACTAAGGTCTGAAACCGTGAACTTTTATCACTTACGAGCTTATGGTTTTGGACCTGAAGCTGGTCCTTTATTTGAAAGTAACAGTGTCTTTAATGCGGCATGCTATATTACTTGAATTTTTATCTGGTAATAATACATTACGTTTCAGTCCCTCGATTATCAAGAATATTCCCTTACTCTCATTTCACTCATGATTCAGAACTGGTATTGCTATGCCAAAGCAGAGGCAGAGTTGCAGGCTCTGGACTTTGCCAGGAATACTGGGCTTGCAGTGGTTAGTATTTGTCCTACCATAGTGTTGGGGCCTATTTTACAGTCAACCACTGTCAATGCAAGTAGCTTGATTCTCCTCAAACTATTTAAAGGTACTTGCTAACGCCTTATCAAATTCTTTGTTTTGCTATCTATTGGAGCGTCATTGTTTTATACCATAGACACAGCTCTAACGCCTTATCATCTTAAGAACCGTAAGGCTTTATCTGTACAATAGAATAAATTCAGGTCTGGCAATTTATTTAGCCGTTTCTTTCTTGCAATATTTGTCTAAAACCTAAGATGCTGAGTCGCTGGAGAATAAACAACGGTGGATAGTAGATGTTCGGGATGTAGCTGATGCAATATTAATGGCTTTTGAAAAGCCTGAGGCAGAGGGGAGATACTTATGCACTGCACATTCTATCAACACAGATGACTTGGTGGAGAAATTAAGACGTTTATATCCAAACTATAGATACCCTAAAAGGTAAGCTTCAGTTCCCGTAGTTAATAAAATCAAACCATATATGCTCTTGTTTTTATGTAGAGAGAATGACAATTGAAGATCATGTAAGAACATTAATGTAAAATGAGGACACGTTTACTCATTAAGTTTATGAATTTGCTACTCAAACTGCCATATTTACAACTTCAAAGTTCTTATTTAGTATTTCACAGTTTCGGTTTCTGTTCTTGTGCACTTCATTTCACCTTGTTTAACAAGTGTAATTACTTTTGCAGCTTTATTGAAGTAGATGATCGCATAAAGTTAAGCTCAGAGAAACTGCAGAGGTTGGGTTGGAGATACAGGCCGCTGGAAGAAACACTAGTTGATTCTGTTGAGAGCTATAAGGCCGCAGGGCTTCTGGAATCAAAATAACTTTGATTCTCTCTGTAGCGGACGCACTTTGACTTCGGAACCAATTTGGATCCTTTGAAGCTAATTGTTATTTATATTATTAATATGTATGGAATTGGAACTGACAAATTCTAAACTAAAATGTTGAAATCTTAATTTATAAAATATAATTTTATTTCAAAATAACATATTATAAAATAAAATCATGTTTAAATTTTAATTTATATGATGACAACACATTTAGAAATAATAAATATTCAGGATTTTTTTTTTATAAAAAAATCTATATATAAACCTTTGGGTCTCTCAATTTATGCGCAGCTTAGATTGTATTTGGTTTGAGGGAGGGGGAGGAGAGGACAAAGGTGGGGAGGGTGGGGGAGGGATGGGTCCCCTCAATTTGGGAGAGGGGGGAAGTTTTGGAGGGGATGAAAGGAGAAATCCTCTCAATTTGGGAGAGGAGGGTTAAAATTTTTCCTCCCCTCCATCTTACCAAACAAGGGGAGGGGAGCCCCTTCTCTTGTTTGAATGGGACAAGGTGTTTGGTAAGGTGGAGGGATGGAAAATTTTTTTAAAATTTTTCCTCTCCTTCCAAACCAAACTACAATGTAGTGTTGCCTTTTTTCCCCTTCTTAGTGAGTTCATGTTGGTGGGTTCAAGAAGGAATTGTTGCTTTTTTTTTTTTATATAAGGTTATGGTAAAGCCGTGCAAAAAGATTATGATCTAGTCATATTTAAAACTATGAAGTTATTATAGTCTCTCAGAAAAAAATCCAAAATCATAACATAAAAAATGTCATGCATTGATCGATGAGATGAGAGGAACTGTTGCTTTTAAGTTGCATTTGCTTTTTCAAAAGCCACATTTTTTGAATTCTTACGGGAATAATCTATATGATTTAACTCCTTCAATTTCTTTGAAAGTTTGAATGAAAGGAGGTTTAGATGTATTTTAAAACCACTGGCTACAGTACTCTACATAATGAAGATATAGCAATTAAAGATGGTCTTCTTCTCAGGCAATTAGTTCTTTTTGATGTTGTCGTCTTTTTTATGCTTTGGCAGATGATATCACATTAAAACAAAGATACCGTATTGCAATTATGCTTTGCCTTTTCTTTTCTTTTCTTTTTTTTAACCAGCAAGGTAGCAATCCTTGGATCCATTTGGTTGGAAGACTGTTTAAAAAAAAATTTGTTTTGAGAGACAAAAAAATCAGGCTGACAACTATTGATGATTTTTGTATCTAAAGGAAAGAAATATTGTTTGATGCTTGATTTATGTTTGGGTAGATAAAAATGATGGAGGGAAAAAAATAGTAAATCACTATAATGTCCCTATTGTGAAGAATAATAAAATAATTGGTTGTTACTAATTATTAATAATAAACTATATTAAAATAATTATTTTTACAATTCTTAAAAAATAACTAATGGGATTCAATTTATTAGAATGAGTTAGTCTCTCATAACATGATGAATTAATATTCAAATTTTCATTAAAAAATGTGTTCATATTTAATTCTCAATTATACTTCCAATAGGATT